TCCCCGCACCCGGCCCCGAGGCCCGCGCCCTGATGGTGAGTGCCTGCCCCACACCCGGGGTGAGAAGTCAGGGAAGGCCAGGGTCGGGCATACCCGAGGAGCCAGAGTGGGGTCGGAGGGGGAGGTGGCCAGTGGAGGAGGGCCACTGGGAGGGTGTGGCCAGCGTGTTCTTTGTGTTTAGAGAAGCAGGAAGCCGGGGTGGGAGACGAGGATGGAGGGGAGGTCGGGCGGGAAGTCCCTCCTGGAATCTGACTGCAGTCGGAGTTGCAGCCCACGGCCTTTTCCGGGCCTCGGGCCACAGCTGTTTCCCAGCTCCCCTCCCCCAGCCTGAGTCCCCTAGGCCCCCTGGAGGATTGCAGTGGGAAGAAGTGAGGGCAAAGTGGGAGGACCGTCACCTCCAGACTTCGGGAGGGGCGGCGGGGCCTTTTGCCTTTATTTGCATCTCTTTGGCCTGAGCCCGCCCGGCCGCAGCCCCGGAGACGGAAGGGGGGAGGGGCCATTGTGTCGGGAAAGTCCCCCTGGGGAGAGGGTGCGCCTTGGGGAGGGAAGGGTTAAAGGTGCCCTGCCTGATGGGCCGTTAACCCTGTGGTGCCGGGGCGGCGGGGAACGACCCGTCCTGGTTTCCCTTCCCAACACCCCTTTTGTCCCCGGAGCCCAGGCAGTAAGGAGAGAAAACTTCCCAAGCTCAGTTCCCGGCCACCACCTGGGGTACCCGGGATTTGGAGATCAGAGTCACAGATGTGGAAACCGAAGTCCTGGATTTGAGCCTTACGGAGCCCTCCTGCCAGAACTTGGCATGACAGGGGAGGGACTCCCGAAAAGCTTGGGGGGTGGTGGGGCAGGAGGCCTCTCCGCATCCCAGCCCCCGGGCCTCGCTCTCCGGCAGCAGGTCTGGCCTTCTGGTCTCCCGGCCTCTGCCACATCCGGAGGTGTGGCCTCACTGTGGTTGGACACCAGAGGGCAGGAGACCTGAGGCTTGTGACTCTGGGTGGGGTCAGTCACTGTATCCCTGTGTGACCTTGGCCATTTGGGGGGGGGTCCGTCTGCCTATCTGTCAAGTACAGCAAAATGTGGCCTTATTTTATTTTGGAATAGAGGTACTTAAGCTGGATAAGAGGAAGGACCTCCAGACTGACGTAGGCATTGGGAGGTAGCTGGCCAGGCAGGTGCCCCGGGCCGCCTTCCCAGGACCTCTGGATTTCCGATTCGTGGTGTGGAGGAGCGGAGAAACCTGGCTCAAGGAAGGGGACAGAAGGAACCGCTAGGAATGAGGCGGGGCGAGGGGCGCAGGGGGAAGCAGGCGGCGGGAAAGGGCCGAGGCAGGCCCGGGGCACCCGGGTTCCCCTCGCACCAGGTGGAGCCTTTCTGGTTGTGCGGGAGGTGGGCCATCCACTCCCTGGGCCTGCTGGTCAGCGGTAATGGCACACGGCGGTGCTACAGGGGCAAAATGACATTAAAAGGTGCCTTTCGGTGGGAGGAACCTGGAGATAATTCATTACCATCATCATTTCTTGAAATTTCATTTCATTTCAAAAAATGTTTTTTGTTTTTGGCACCAGAGATCGAACTCGGGTCCTTGCACCTGTGAGGCAGGCGGTGGAACCGCTGAGCTAAATCCCTGGCCCTTGGATCAGTGTTTGTGTATTCCAGTGTTTCTTCTTCCCCTCCCCTGCCCAAATGTGAATGTTTCCTTCTTTCTAATTTCCAATGTTCCGCAGGCTTTTTGATTCTGCACTTTAGTCACTTTCCTGAATCTTCTCCTACACAGAGCTAAGTTCCTTACTCTCTCTACACAGCCAGCAGTGACTTAAGTGGGGCCCCTTGAAGTCGTAGGAGATTTGCACTTGGGCTGGTTGATTTGAAGTGCAGAGAGAACGTAGCCTGGGATGAACAACTTTTGTCCTGGAGGCTTCCATGCCGTGAGAGAAAAATCAAAGAAAAATTAATAATGTGAAACCAAAGCACACTTAATTTTGTTAAATGTTTCATCCTTTTTCTGTGTGTACACCAAACCAATTATAGATTCAAAGCAAATGAATTGCACATTTTACTGGCGTAATCTTTGGCTGAGGAGCTGCCAGTGACAAAGAATGCCAGGGATATACAAAATTGTCTTCCTTCTTTCTTTCTGCTTACAATGTTGGCAGCATTGACGGATGCTAAGTTCACTCACATTTTGTCTGTTTTTCACTCATTTTTAAAAATCAAGAATGGAAAACATTCTAGTTTTTCCATCAAGTTTCATGTTTCTGTATTGGAACTAGCCACATGAAGCTATTTAAATTTAGTTAAAATTAAGGAAAATAATATTTCAGTTTCTCAGGTCCACTAGCCACGTTTCCAGGGCCCAGCTGCTCTGTGTGCTGGTGGCTTCTGTGCTGGGGAACTAAGACTGAGAAAGTCTCTGTCCCTGGGCAACCCTTTCCTGGGTCTCAAATAGCACCAAGGCTGCTTGACTTTGCTTTGAGAACAGTGAAATGCTGTTCATGAACAATAAGGTGGGAGAGTAACATGCTTTAAAAGGAGGTTACAGGTGCCAAGATGTAAGATCTTGAAAACGAAAAGCTAAACAGGCCCGCCGGTGCCGGTGCTGGTGCCGGTGCCGGTGCCGACTCCCCTGCGCCCGCGTCCCAGCTCCTTTCCTCTGAACGCGACACCTGCGTTGTTTGCTTATGGCGATAAAACCAGCGAGGAGCAAAATAAAAAGCGCCCACGGACCTCGGCCTCTCCCTCGCCCGCCCTGCCCAGGAGACCTGGCCTTGCTGTCTCAGGCTCCCACAGGGGCTGCTCCTGCTGCGGGCCAGAAACCCTCCCTGAGGGCTGTGGGACGCGGTTAGCCCGGCAGGCCTGCTTCGGTGTGGTCCTGTCCACCCAGCTTCAACCCGAGGGAGGTGTCGCACCGCGTCCTCCTGGGCCCAGGCGCTCTTCTTTTTCCTTTTCATGGCTGCATACTATCTGCAGGATCAACAGTCTTCTTATTGACTGCACTGAGGAGCTTTCTGGTTTTGTTGTTTTGGTGGACTAGGATTGAACCCAGGGCCTTCACACTGACCTACATACCCCGTCGTCTTTATTTTATTTTTCATTTTAAGACAGGGTCTCACAGAGTTGCCCAGGCTGGGCCCCCATTTGTGATTCTCCTTCCTCAGCCTCTCAGAACACTGGGGTCACAGGCCCGCACTACCAGGCCCGGCTTAGATAGATTTTATTCGCTGCCCTCTATCCTGTCTTTCAAGCAGTGCACACCTTTGGCGCACACACATCTAGTGTGTAAGCACCTCGTGCCTGTGCCCTCCCCACAGAGCAGCACTTAGGTGACTGTCCGCTTGGTGGTGTGTCTCAGCCACTGACGGTGGCAGGTTCTCTAACCTGGCCTCCTTTGCCACCTTCCTGTGGCCACAGGAGCTGGAGAGGGGCTGGTGCCCAGCTTCCACTGCCAGGTCCCTGTGGCGCCGTCGGGGTTGCTCCCTGAGTGGCTGTACAAGGAAGTGGCCTTTCCTCTGCATCTGCAGGGGTGAGGGGAGGTGGCGCTCAAGCTCCTGGCTCATTTTTAGTATCATGGGGTGGGGGCAAGGCCCAGCGATTTGGAACAGAGAGGGTCCCCATTGGCCCTGGAACCAGGCACATAGCCTCTGCTGCCCCTGACCCACTCCTAGCGGCCTCCTGTCTTGTCTGGAATTGCTGAGGCTCTGGGCTCTCTGTCCCCGCAGTCTGTCATGCCAGCCTTTAAGAGGACAGGGGAATAAGGGCCGGGGACTTAACTCAGTGGCGCTGCACCTGCCTTGCCAAATGCAAGGTCCTGAGTTCAAACGGGGAACCGGTGGAGGAGCTGGATCAGGGCTGGAGGTGGCACAGTGCTCTTTTGGAACTGAGCTGGGTCCTCACTGCCCTTCTCCCTGGTCACCCACTCCCGTGTCACCACACAGGTCCCTGCTAACCTACCTTCTCTGTCTTTTCTAGAGACAAGAGGAGCAGCAGCGACACCGCCCATCACCCTGGAGGGTCCTGTACAATCTCATCATGGGACTCCTGCCCTTACCCAGGGGCCACAGAGCCCCCGAGATGGAGCCCAATTAGGTGCCTGCATTCGCCCGGTGGACGTCAGGGACCAGGGGGGCAGGACCCTCCCGCCTCCTGACGCCCTGGCCAGTGCGGGGCGCTTTTTCTGCACCATGTAGCGTACTGGACTACCAGCCCTGCCTGTCCCAGGGTGGGCTAGGGCAGCCGCTCCAGGCCCGCCTGGGTGCCCCAATGGACATGTGGACTTGTGGGCCCCTGGCCAGAAGCCGGGACAGAGGGCTGAAGGACTCGGCATCCGAAGGCGGCGGTGGCCGAGGGGGTGGGGACTGAGCCGCCCGCCTCTGCTGCCCACCACCATCTCAGGAAAGGCTGCTGGTGCTGGCTGCCCATTCCAGCTGCAGGGGGGACGCTGGGGGGTTGTCCCCAGTGCTCCTTCACTTTGGGCCTGGCCTCAGGCCCCTGGTGCTTCCCCCCCCTCCTCCTGGGGAGGGGGCCTGTGAAGAGCAAATGAGCCAAACGTGACCACTGG